GAGTGAAATTTTAAGTGAAAACTTTGAGGTTACCACTAAACACCAACAAACAGGCACACAAGAATTGTGTATGAATGTTTGTTTCTATATATGACAGAACATTATTTGCAAAGCCTTTTTTAACAGATTCTTTCCACTTTTCTTCACCAAATAAGAGACAATAGCTTTGTCTTCCTTGCATTCTTTCTATGTAAATCTATCACGGGATAAGTATAACATAGGATCAAAAATCAAATGCAGTATTTAAAAATGATATGGAGATGGTTCCTGATTACCCAGAGTATATTTATTTTTTGTTTAGAGAAGCACAAAAAGCAAGTTTACCTTTTTCCTTTGAAGAAATATATCTATTTCTCTATATATTTTATAGAATTATAAAATGACTCTGAGTTACTTCATGCTGTCATTACCCACTTTCTCTAATTAAGCAACTTTATGTAGAGCAAAATGCAATAAATTCTGTTAGCAACATATAATTCATGAGTAAAAGTGAGCTGGTGAAATTTATGTAAAAATAAAAAGCTTATCACAGCTACTAACCACAAAGGATTGTAAGTACTTAATTTTTATGTGTATGTATACTTTTATAGATATGCTATATTTGAAAGCCAGTATCACTAAAATGAAACCTGTATCAAGGGCTGAAAGTAAAAACCAAAGTCAAATATCTTACATGGGCTTTTTTCCCCAGTACCCTACATATCACTTCCAGTCATATTACCTGAAGCTAAAATAAGGATCCGGTGTCAGAAGAAACATACTCATATTATCAGAGCTGATAGAGATACTGAAGATGAAAAAGCTAAGGCAGAGACTCAGATTTTGTGACATGTCCAAGATAATACAACTGGTGGGCACCACTAGACCTAGAACAATCTCTCCTTACTCTACATCTGAGATTTCTGACAATGCGCAATAAAAAAGTTAAACCTAACAGATGAGAAATTGATTAAAAAATTAGATGTCCCCTCAAGTTGAAAACCTCTGGATTTAATCACATATACTAACATGATTTTGTATTAATAGGAAAATATATTTTAAATAACATAAAGTTGTAAAAGCTGACTAGAAGTAATGAAAACTACAAACAAAATTTATGCTTTTCCTTAAATCAGAACCATGGAAACATATTTTCTAATGTCTCAAAAAGCGAGAGACTTATTGGCTGTGTATGCATGTGTTGTAGTAGTGGGTTTTGTTTGCCTTGTATTGTTTTATTTTGTTTTGTAAATTGTTACAGGATCTTCCAGTTTCCTGTGCAATGGTAATCTGTGTTCCAAAAACAGGGATACCTACAAAATTAATTTCTGATATTTCACAAAACACTCAACTATGAATAAGTCTCTAAAAATTTAATGACAGTAAGAAAAAGGTACCAAGAATTTCAAAACAAAAAAATCTCAATCTTTTTAATGTTGTGTGAAATAGAAATAAAGAACATCTTTTTAAAAGTCAAAAGTAATTGAAAAAGAGAATAAATCAGTAAACCAATTGTGTATATTTTTCCTAAAGTGCATATTCATGAGCTGACAGTAGAAACAGGCTTGCTGCTTTGTTTGACTATAGTTCTATTTACCTCATACTGTCAAGAATGGATTTTGACACTCACAGTATTAATATTGCTATTTTTATTGATATAATTAGCACTGCTATAAATAATTCCTCAGCCTGCTATATCTAAGTATATCATTACAATCAGCAATATTAGGGCTTTTTTTTCTTATATGATGCTTTGGAAATAGACTGCTAGCCCAAAGAACCACAGTGACCTCATGATGTGGAAGTTACTAAAAAAAAAACAAAAAAAAAAAACAAAAACAAAACACTGCCCTGTCAATAGAGACTACTGTTTTGTGTATGACTTCACTAAACAAACTAGTTTATATTTGTTTGAAACTAAAGTTTCTCACCAATCTGCTGTTTCAATTTCACATCACACCATATTGTACCTAAAACAGGCAATCTGGATTCCTGTTGCTACTTCCCCCCCACCCCCACCCCCAAACAGCTCAGGAATGGGTTTGAAATACAAGGCTTGCATATATAAAGCAAAAGAAATTAAGACACCCAAAATTCAGAATGGGTGGGTGAAAATAAGTGTGCTTGAAGTCATTTGTATAACTGCTAGTGGGTGGCCCACTTGTGAATTTTTGATCATCACATGAAAGCAAAATCAAAATATATTTTATCATGCCTCTGGATCACATCAGCTGCGATGATAACCTTATCTAGACCTTGAAGAGTATGTTCATAAAACAAAGTGGGGTGACCAACCCAGTGGATATTCAACACAGAGAATGAAGGCCAAAACAAAATGACAATACAATTCAAAACAAGTTTGTAGAAATTTTAGACTAGTATATTAAACCTTTCTTTGTCTCTATCACTTGACAGATGGTTAGCCTTCACACAGCCTAGTATCTCTGGCAAAGAAATGACTGTGTCTAGCCAATAACACCCCAAATTTTTATTTAAAATGCAGTGTACACATACTTACACTTACCTTAAAAATATTAATAAATTAGTCATTTTATTTCTTATTTTATCACTACAAAAACTTGACAGATCTCAAGATTTGCCTTTTGCCCTATGAATACCTCTTTTTTAAAATTTCAACTGTCTTATGTAGATCCAGAGTTCTAAGAACTCTTCTCTTTCGCTTTTGTTCATTTTAGGGGCTACTGGCTAATCATGCTTTAAAAAACAACTTCCAATAACTTTTAATCTGAAATTATTACAAAATTTACAAAGATTTAATTAGCTTATGTTTTCTATGTAGCTTGGAACAAAGTTTTGGTAAGTTAACAAGGAGTTAAAGTCACCTGGGAACATATCAAGAACCACAAGGCAGGACTGGAATTATTTACACAATACTGAAATATGTCTTTATTCAAAAACTGCTCGTATAAAAATGTATACTCACTCACACATAAACAGACAGTAATCAACCATTAGAATTAGCAAAAGCTCTTAGTTTTTAACATCCTATCCACTATCCTTCCCCTTTCTCTTAAAAAAAAGATTTCATCTAAGACAATACAGTCCATTAGTTATATTCTCTGCTTTTCTTCCTAAATCTTCCTATTTACAGCTTTCCAATGCTGGCAGGTCTACATACAAATAGCCAGAGGCAACCTCAACTTCTCTAAAGTGCATTAATATGTACCCTTTCTGGAAGAAGTGATTATGCTACAAATTAGCATAAATAGAGATCTAATGTAGGTATAGAAATTCAAGCCCTTCACAGCAGGGGATAGGAGGGCTGGCAGTGGGAGGATTGTGTGTTTAAAAAAAAAAAAAAAAAAGTTATCCTACTTACCAACTGAACACTGATTTGGCTAACAAAATAAGACTCACTGTGGCAGAGAAAAATAACGAAAATCAGAACCTGTTATCTGAGCACTATGAACTAAATTTTGGAAAGGTGAGACACCCACTACTTAAAGCAACAAACTCAGCGTTAAATCATATATTCTGTTAACCAAGCACCAAGTTTCCTTCTGTTAGAAACCTAGGATTTTTACACCTACAGACTAAATGATTAAAGTAATGCTAAAATCTTCTGTAATGTTCCTCTTGCATTACAAATGGTCTATTAAATCAGAGAAATGCCAATCAAATGCCTTTGTAGTTTGAAAGAAAGGTTTAAATAACAAAGCATTTTTTGCAGGCCTCTTTTTCTCTTTAATGTCACCTATAAATTAATTACAACAAATTTCCATCTTCTCTTGATAAAACCACAACTGAAAAAGATTTAGGCACTTAATGTTTCAGACATAACCCTAAACCAAATTCTTAGTAAAAAATAAGATATTCTAGCTTATGTTTTACCATGATTTTCTAAGAAGACAAAAAGCTCCATCGGAATTTTACAGTAAATTCCAAGACACAGATTTTTTTTTAATATAATGTAACATTTTATTTATTTCAAAGGCATCCTTAAAATAATGGGAAAAAGAAAAGAAAAGAAAAGCCCTATCTGTTCAAAAGACCTACTAAAAAGCATGGAGAAAGTTTCGTGACAATACGAAGGGTACAAACAAAGTTAGCTCCTCCTTTCTTGCCATTGGCAATTAGTAAACACCTCCATGTCCCTCAAGCTTCTGTACATTCTTTCAAATTGTACTCTCCAAAATGAGAGAACAGCTTGGTTTTAAAATTTCATACAAAAATCTCTTCTCCTGGAAATCTTAAGTACTAAGTATATGTGACATTAGAATATAAACTCCACAAAGACAGGTTATTTTAGGTCTTGTTCACTGTTACATCCCAAGTGTCTAGAACAATTTTGTGAATTTAAACAACCATTTCAGAAAAGCATGATTATTTCAGAGAATAAAGCAGAGCCCATCAAGCTCCACTTCTATATTCCAAATGTTTTAAAGAAGTCTCTCTTTGTCACTCATTCTAAAATATTTGCAATAATTTGTAATTCAATTATAAATTTAGATCCTTTACAGTAGCTTAGTTGTATCTTTTATTGCTCTTCTAAATTGACCTAATTATTCAGCCAGGCCTTTTTTCTAGGAAGTGAAATTTGGTTAGAAAGCCTTCTCTAGACTTTCACTACTGAGATAAAATTAATTCAATAAAATAAAAATTAGCCTGGCTTTTCCTCTAGATTTTATTCTTATACCAAGTATCAAATTCATATTAATTTGAAGCAAAATTAGTTGGGTATTTGTGGGTCACAAAAACTTTCTGAACTAACTACAAGGAAATTGGCATCTCATCTAGTAGCTCTAAATACACTCCCCAAAATTGTAACTCTCACATAGAAGTTTTTCTTTCCTCTAAACTCATGTTGTCTTTCAGTAGCTAGTGAGTATACACATGAAATATATCTGTATTTTCCTACTGTGATAGAAATCTTAAAATACTGGCATGTTAATTGAGCTAGACAGATAAGCATAAAGACTTCTCCCCGAAAATGGATAAAATTTAGCACTTTTTAAAAAGTTTAAACTTTTTTCTTTAGTCTGTTAAAATCGGGACCTCACCATGAAAGGGCGTATTGCTTTGGAGGCTGGTAGACAGTTAACTTGTCACCTGATCTTCATATGCAAAAGGCCTGTATTCCACTGGTCTGTGAGATCTGAAATCACAAAACCAAAATACCCAACTGCTGGACTCACTGAGCAGCTAGTATATTTCTAGAAAATTCACTTTTCTTCTTACTTTCACCTGTTTACTTGAGCACCATAGATTCTTAACCCTAAAGCCCTCCAAAATTGAGCTCAATGGAAATCACAACCACAATCTTAGGAATCAAACCTTGAGCCCGGAACAAAGAGTAACATCAGCAATTCTTCAAGGGCAATTCCAAAATCTGTTTGGAGAGAAGACCATTCCTGGGAGGGCACAGTGATATCACCATGCACTACCTGTGCACCAACTTTGATACATTCTGACTACAAATGAAAAGAGCTAACAAAAGCATGTAAAATCAATGTAAATTGCTATCCCTCCCCTTTTCCTAGAAACCTAGAAGTACCTAGTTGTAAAGGTGAAATGCAGAAGCCAAATCTGGCCTGGTCAAACTTAATGAGGAGCAGAGGTGGGTATATTTTAACTATTCCCATGTGATAGCAAATGGTACTTGGGATTAGGAGCAACAGGTAAGAAAGGAAATCATTTATGAACTGAATTTGCTAATACAACTATTTATTTAAATTTAGTGTTTACAGCTAAAGAATTAATTTACAAAATGGTCGTTACAATTTGTTTTCAAACTTCCACTAGCAACAAGTTAATGATAGTAACTTTGGAATAGAACTCGCCTGAAAACATTGCGGAAGGAGTGGCCTCTGTTAATTCTACTAGAATTTATTTACACGACCAGGCAGTGAGAAACCCTCCACGTTAGCATTATGTTACCACACTTTTTAGCATCATTTACTATACTTTACCATTAATGGTAAGGAGTGAAGACAATTTCCACAGGTCTAGAAAGGTTGTGTGCCAATGCTGATTCTGAGGACGTTATTTAGCCCACAGACTTCCAAATTACTTCCTGTTTCTGTGAGATTTTTACTTGAGAACTGTCATCCTGCTACTGACCCCATTCAACTGAGTTCAGTGTTAAGAGATCAGCGGATTACCGCGCTAGGTAGTGTAGCTGTACGCCATATTGTGTTTTTCGCTAATGTTTATAGTTTATGTGTGTGCCTAGCATATGTTTGTGCAAGTGTGTTTATCAATAGAACTTTTAGAAAATCCCTGCCTCCTGCCTCTTCAGCATCCTTAAAAAGGATAACAGCTGCGGGGAGGGGGGAGGTGGCGGGGGGCGTGAGGTGGGTGGTGGAAAAGGACCAGAAAGCCACACAGACAGTAATGCATTTGACAATGTGGAAGAGTGCATTTCTTTTCAACTTTCAACAAGCTTCCAACCGTTCTATCTCAACTATCGAAAAGCGTAAACATTGTTTAATGTTTTCGAAGGGGCCCAAAGGAGAGACAGAAGGAAAGGAGTTATCTTCCCTTCCCAAGCCCCCTCCTCTACAGTCGTAGCAGCGAAGCAGGCGGGGGCCGGTAGCTTTGGTGTCTGGAGGGGCGTCCAGCGGCTCTGGGGCCAGGGCACCTCCCGCCCCCCCCAGTTCTCTGAAGACGCTCCAGAGACCGCGAGAGCCACGGCAAGCGGGGGAGGGCGAGGAGGGAGGGGGCGGAAGACAAGCCGGCGCCTCTAGCAGCTCCTGAGCCCCGGCTAGTCCCCCTCAGCTCCTCTTCTTGGAAGCGGCAACTCCAGGCGCAGGGAGTAGAGAAAAGAAGGCAAAAGACACGTTTCCAGCTGCGGGACTGCCCGCCCGCTCCTGGGACCCGGGACCCTCCCGCGCTCCCTCCCTTCCCGCTGGGTCGCGCGAAGCCGCAGCCGCCTCCCCGCGCGAGGAGCGGCGCCCGGGGGGAGGGGGCGCAGACGGGGCGGGGCGCGGAGCCGCGCGCCCTCGGCCGGCAGACGGCCCGTGGGCTCGCCTCTCTAACTCGCTCCCCCAACCCCACCCCAGACCCCTCCTTTTCCCTCCCGTCGCCCCCCACTCCAAATGCCTCGCAGACGCCTCGTCCCCCTTGCACGCACACACCCCTCCCTCCAGCCCGCCCCACAACAAATTAGAGTTTTGGGGGTTACCTCCTCGCGTTCTTTAATCTTCTTTCCTCAACTCCTAAACTTCCCCCCGCCCCTACTTCTTCGGCAGAAGGCCCACATTGGGTACACACACTGCGAACCCTCTATCTTTTTCCGCTATTGGGTTGTTCTTATGCCACTCTTGGCTTCAGTGAGCCAATCAGAGAAGGGCGCCCCTCGTGAGGTTGCCGCCCATAAACAAAATGCACTCTTCCTCCTCCTCTCTCCTGTCCCCGCCCTCATATGCTTCTTCCCTCATCTCTACCACCTTCGATTGGGCTAGAAGAGGCCCAATCCGCTATCTCAAACACCCATTGGGGCACGGAAGCTTCGCTCAGAGAATCCTAATAGGCGATTGGTCGACAGTCTGCCCCCTCCCCCTACTTCTGCCGCACCTTCGCCCATTCTGGAGAGGTCACTCGTATCTCGTTGCTCAGTGATCCGAGAGGTGGGAAGCTATTGGTTCAGAGAGCCCGTCAGACCGGATTGGAATGAGCTCTGATTGGTCAGTACCGACACGATCAGGTTTGGTTGTCTGCTCCTCCGCTCCTCCTCCCCTTTTCCTCCACAACCCCCCCCCCACTGCTTTTACTTTCTACGCATTTCTATTTCCTCCTTTATTTATTTATTTGTGATAAACTTAAATGACCCGGCGACGGAGGCGGGACTCGCGGCGCGGTGGAGGATGACGAGAGACGGCCCGGGGCCAATTGCCGAGGGGGCTGCGGGGTGAGGGGCAGCTTCGGTGGCCAGTGAGAGGCAGGTGTCTGGAGCGCGCTAGGCCTGTGGAGCCGGGATGCCCCAGCGGAGGCGGCGGTTACCCGCTGTCTGGCGCGGCGAGCTGGCGGGGGGAGCCGCGGAGGGGAGGACGGGGTGTCGCTGTCGCAGACAGCTGAGGCAGCAGGCTGGAAGCTGGAGCTAGGGCCGTGGGAGGAAAGCTGGAGAGAGGGTCTGGCGAGGAGGCGGCCCCCAAGGCCACCCTGGGTCAGGCTCGATTCCTCGGGGGTAGGCTGCAGGTTGCCCAGCCAGGAGGTCAGCAGAGGCCGCTGAAGCAATGCCAGGGCTCGAAGGGAAAATGTGTCCGTTCAGGAGGTTTAGAGAAATACTGTGTAAAACAGTTCGTAGTAAGCCGCACTTAACAAAAATAAGGATATTATAATAACGGGAAAAGCAGATCGTGTTTCTTATTACTAAACGCCTGAAGTACCAATGACCCGACCGGAGCCCACAAAATTCAATATCCTGAGGGCTAGAAGGAACAAATAAAGCAACACGGAAAATTAAATGCGGTTCAGATGCTTCAATAAAACCTTCATCCTCATCCATTTGTCACTCAACATAGCACTCCCCAGAGCCAAATTCTTACCAAGTTTTCGTCCAGTACTCAGGCGTTGGCGAAAAAAATGAGTCTCAAGGCCAGCGAGATGTTCAGGAAGGATTCCTAAAAAGGGGTAAGATGGGGGGGAAAAAGCCTTCACTATACAAAGAAAAATCTCTGCCAAAATAAAATGTTGCACTTTTTAGGGAACTTATGTAACAATAATTTATCACAAATTAAGGGACTTTATGAAAAATACCGTGCAGATGAAGAATTTACTGTATTTGAGGTTTGAAAACAGATTTTTTTTTGGAACATGCATTTGATGTATAGTTTCCAACAGACTGTTAAGTTCTCTGAATTGTATCCTCGGCTTCCTTGGGATATGCAGCATGTATGAAAGAAAAAGTTATTCCTGACTTGTTAGAGATGGTTAGGCAGACTTTATTCAGGATCATTGAGATACGTATAGATAGGACCACTATGATAGGATTTTGCAGTGGGAGGAGATTGGGCTGGACTCCCCCAAGTATATCATGGGCAAGTGGGAATTTTAGCCAAGGAGCAAGGTGGAGGTCTGTGGATGGAAAATTACTAAGAGGCAACACTATTAGGGGTAAGTGAGAATTTTGGCTAAACCAACCTAAAAGGATTCTTGCTGAAGACAGGCCAGGGTGATCAGACTTGATATGGGGAATAGTGGAGGGGGGAAAAAAACCTGATCATCTATGTAGAGTGGTCAGATTGGGGTTGAGGGGAGATGCTTACTAAACTGGCTTAGAGGAGTTCTTTGAAACTGGATTTCACAAGAAGGTGCACAGATGCCTGGCTTTGATTAGGGGTCTTTGGCAGAATCTAAGCAAAAGAAATTGCCTGGTGAAAAAAAAAAAAAAAAACTTAGAAACCTTGCCCTCATAAAAACAATTAGATATCTTTTGAGAAATATGTGAGGGTTTCAGAATGTATAAAATTATTACATCTGGTATTAAGTTTGAAGTCCACTAAAGTGTACAAATTGCTTTTGAATCTGGAAGCTAAAATATTTTAGAATTTATGTATAAATCTTAGAGTGATGTAGTGACTGTAACAAGTGTTCCATACAGAATAATCAGCTTTACATGAGAAATTCAGTAAAATTAACAAAGATGTTTAAACAGTTAATCCTTTAACTTTTCCAAGGGGCAGTGACCACTCTCTTTATATACTGCTTAAAACTCATCCATTCCAACAAGGTTGGTGTGTGTGTGTGTGTTTAATGTTTACTTATTTTGAGAGAGAGTTCCAGCAGGAAAGGCATAGAGAGAATCCCAAGCAGGCTCCACTCTTTCTGTGCAGAGCACTGCAGGGCTTGATCTCAAGAACCAAGAGATCATGGGGGCACCTGGGTGGCTCAGTCAGTTAAGCGTCTGACTTCGGCTCAGGTCATGATCTCACAGTTTGTGGGTTCTAGCCCCGCTTCTGGCTCTGTGCTGACAGCTAGCTTAGAGCCTGGAGCCTGCTTTGGATTCTGTGTCTCCTTCTCTCTCTGACCCTCCCCTGTTCATGCTGTCTCTCAGAAATAAATAAGAAAACAATAAAAAAAAAAAAAAAAAGAACCAAGAGATCATGACCTCAGCTGAAATCTGGAGTCCCACACCTAACCAACTGAGCAACCCAGATGTCTGTATTCAACAAGTTTTTAAAGCTATGATTCAATGTTATTGGCATGAGACTTGTTAGGACTGTAATGATAAGGCATTAGGAAAGCAACGTAAGGTGCTCCAGTGGCGCAGTCAGTGTGTGATACATATACAAGAAGGCAGTGTAAAATATTCTAATTTATATCCAATTTTCCTGATGTCAGATTCTGGTGTTAGAATGCTCTTTCTACAAGGAATTGGTCGGTCTTTATAGTTACATTACACAGGCACAGACTTCAACCAACAACCCACCCCCACACAGATACAGAAGTATCCCAAAAGATCCAGCAAGAATTCCATACTTGTATCAAGGGGTAAAAGAGATGTTTTCTTAGTGTGGCAATTAGCAGAATTGGAAAAGGGATACAACAAAAAAGATGTGGTAACAAAGAATGCAAGGGTGATGAAGAAGGCATGATTGATGGAAAATGAAAAAAGTTATGATTGCCTAGGGAAGCATTTTATAATGAATTTCTTTCAGGACCCTAACCTTTTGCCTTCACAGATCTTAAATTGTATACAATCCCTAAAGTTTTAAAGGTGCATTAAAGGAGGCCAAACTAGTAGTCAGTGAATTCTTCCTATGTTACAAATGAAGATATGTAGATTTTCAATGCTTTATCTGCATCACAAGTGGCAGAGCTTCTTTTCAAACTCCTCTGTTTTCCTTTTTTCACTATGCCATTCATTTATTTATTCAAGAAATACTAAGTGCATTTCCTCATAACAGATATATTTACAACCATTTAAAAACCCCAGGAACTTAGAAACCAAAGATATGTAAGACTTGGCATTTTTCTCCAAAGAGAACTGTGTATTGGGAGAGACGTAAAGGAATCAATTACTGTGCTGCGTACATATGTGATATATATAACATGGGAATACAAAAGAGAGAATGGCTAACTCTTATTTGGGAATATTTGTAATACAAATACAGTGATTTCAGAATCACTATACTGAACACAAAAGTTGATCAAATTAGATCATCCTCCCAAGTGGCTTAGATTCTAATTAGGGCACTAATTAGACACATACAATAAAACAAAAACAAAAAAACTATATTACTAGCCAAATCAAGAAGAATCCTTAAAGAAAAGCCTTAATGATAGAATAAATGAAGTGTTATGGAAGGTCAGAAAAATCCTATTTATAGCTTGAGGCATGCAAGGGTAGGAAATCAGGAAAATTTTAATGGCAGAAGTAACTTTTGAGATGGTCTTTGAAGGATGTGTTAAAGAAACTACCACCTTTCCTCACATAAAACCTTGTATGAAATACACTTGATATTTTTTTGCCATTTACTCAAAGACAGGTACCACTTTTCTGTATATGTGCTCACCATTAATCTGAGCAAATAATAGCCAATAAAAATGTTAAAAGACAAATCAATCTTTTATAGTGAAATAAAGTTCAGTTCAGCATCAAAATGTGTCAGGACAGCATGGCCATAATAAAGGTTAGACAATTCCATCTGAATCTCTCTAAAGAGAGATTTCTATATATCCAGTTAGCCGATAAGTGATACAAGGTATTCTAGCCCTAGATACTTGTTTAAAATTTGCCATGACCCCCCCCCCCGAATATGGTAGAAGCATGAACTCCTTTATAATATTTCACTGGATTTTCAGGTGTTTGTATTTTCCTAAGTTCCAATACCCAGATGCTCATTTCCTTTCATGTTTTCTCTTTTGCCCCAAACCATTGATTTAAATGGGAAAGTCACATCAGAGCCATGGGTTTCCACCAAAACCTCATTCACATAATGAAAATGTAATGGACTTGGCTAAATAAAGAT